AGGTGGGCGGGAGTCGTTGAGGGCCCCCCGCTGAGTTCCACGGTGGGTGATGTGGGGCTCTTGCGGCTTAGGGTGACTCAGGAGCGTTGGGGGCACCTCGGTGCATTGGAGGGCTGGAGGACGGGAGAGTTTGGGGGTTTTTGTTCCGATTTCGGCTAAAATTCAGGCGAATTCCCCTTCCTCAACTCATCTGTTGAGAGTCGGGTGACTCCTGTAGTCAGGGAAGGTCGTGATTGTGAAGTAGTCAGTTAACCAGAAGAGTGTTTATTTGTTCTAAATCGAGATGTTTGCGTTAAAAAAACGTATAGCAGTCAGGTCTGTGTCAGTTGGCATGGAAGTAGCCGCAGCATATACTAAGTTACTTCGTCTGTGAGCAAGTGCTCTGCATCTGAACTGCTGGAGGAGTTCAGAAGGATAATTATGTAGAAAAATTCCACCCTTGCCCTGCGTGTTCAGTGGCTTTTTTAGGCATTTGAGGCCACATTAGTGTTTTGGATATTGTGCCCCAGTGTTCATTAAACAACAGGTAGTTGCCATGAAACCCTCAATTTACAAATGATAGGTACCCAAGGCTTAATTATCTGATGTCATTGAATTTACGTTCATTCTCGAATACAGAATGATAGACTGCTGCTTGCGCCTGGATAAATATTCTTCTAAAACTAGGAGCAGTTTTGGTTTTGTGAACTTTGGCCATAGTGGGAAAACTTACTGCTTTTCAGAATACTTACATGCCTTGGACACTGACCACTTTAAACAAAAAGATGTCTTTATTAAAGCCTCACTTCTGCTTTCACTTTATCACAGCTACTAGCTAATGAACTTGTAAAATAAAATTTAGATAAAATCTTGGTTGCATATGTTTTAAATAAATACTTCATTACTTTTCATTTAATCCTATAAAGGAGTTTGATTTTTAGATTTAATATCAAAAATGCTGGGCAAATGTGGTGTATGTATATGGTGCCAATTGATTGGGTATTTTAATGATCCAAAGCTGGTTCAGGAATGGTGCACAAGTAGCTCAATGATAAACCTGAAAAAGTCTCCAAGCGAACCTCCTGTGCTTATGGAGCTTGTTTTAGAAGGCATTGACAACTTTTTCATGCCCTAAGCTTTGCTTCAAAAGAAATCACAGTAAACAACTACAGTTTGTGAAGGTTCAATTGATCTGTTGTCTCAATTTTAGTTTGGAATGGAGGAAAGCAATGAAGCTCGCTTCAAGTTCTTCAAGCTGTTAATGCAAAAATACTTTATGTATAAAATAACTCGGGCTAAAGTATGAATATGATGAAGAATAAAGAAGGAATGAAGAAATAGCTAATCCAGGCATGCTTTGCTTGCCTTTGCTCTGTAGCCATTGTCTGCATTCCATTGCTGATTAAAAGTGCTGTTGTTGGGCTTGCAGACAAAGTAGCTGAGTTCAGTGGAGAATATGAAGCAAATTTTCCATAAGAAATAATGTAAGAGTGTGGAAATGTGTACAGTGGTTTATTTTTCCATAAGAATTAGTGTAAGAGTGTGGAAATGTGTACAGTGGTTTAAATACAGGTATTTGAATATGTAGGGACAATGAGACTGAAAACATGACTTAAAATTTTAATTGGGAGTGTTCTTGTTGCCTCTTTATGACAATGAAGACAATCGTTGGAAGTCTTCCTCAGTTGACTTTTTGGATTAATCTTGACTGCATGATGGAGGATGGAAAAACAAGCTAAAGATTGGCTGTTTGGTCAAATCAAGCATTTGAGATCACTTTGCAGATCCATTGCAGAAAGCTGCTGATACCTCCTCCACTTGATAATGATTATCTTGTGTAGGTGGTACAAGATAACACATCAGCTCTTATGAAAGAAATAGCTTTGTTAGAGATTTTTCAGAGAACTGAGCTTCTCAAGGGTTATCCTTCATGGACAGTGATTATGCCTTGTGGGTTAGGCCGCTCTGGCAACCAAACCCTACACAGTCCCTTTCTCACCCTCCCCCACCCCCAGGGATGAGGGAGAGAATCAAAGAGGAAAAAAAGAAAAGACCTGCGAGTTGAGATAAGAACAATTTACTACTACCACCCCGTGGGTTGAGATAAGAACAATTTACTACTACCACTACCAATATATATATGTACAGATATGTACAAGGATAAATATATACAAACGAGTGATGTACAGTGTAATTGCTCACCACCCCTTGACCAAGGCCTGTCTTGTTCCAAAGCTGCAATCCCGAAATGAATGGGAGTCCCTGAGACAGAGAGCGAGAGAGAGAGAGAAAACACACTCTGAGAGCCCGAAAGTGAGAGTCCCGGAAGGGCAAAAAGCCCTTCTTTCCGCTGTCCCTCACTCATACTGGGCATGACGCTGCATGATATGGAATACTAATTGGCCAGTTTGGCCCTCAATCTTAAGTTCAGGTACAAATCATAAGGAGAGTCGTGGACCCCTTGTCCTGGCTATGCTCCCCCCTTATCCTGTTGTGCTCCTGCTCACTGGCAAGAACCCAGCAAGCTGAAAAGCCCTTGAGACCTCAGTGCCAACTATAAACATCAGCTTGCTATCAACATTCTTCTCAGAGCGAGCCTCTGAGGGAAACCAAAACACAGAGCTCTTCTAGCTGCTAAAAAGAACAACTAACTCTGTCCCAGCTAAAACCAGGACATGCCTATATCTTGTTTAGGATGCCTTTTGTGCTCTGGTGCTTTTTTGGTTTTTGTCCCTTTCTCTTTTAAAGAAACAGTAGTAGCATCACTGAGTAGACGTGTTAAACCTTCAAGAACAGTGGAGGCACCAATGGGAATTAAAGGTAGACAGAATTCACCTCTAAGGTGCTGACATGCCTGGCATACTTGAAACGTGTTCTTTCTCTGTTTCTAACTTGTTTTCATCCTTAATCTTAGTTGTGATGCAGGCTTTAGCTTCAAGTCCTTCACACTTCAAATACTGTTAAGATTAGATCAGCCTGTATGGTCTGCTAAAGCTTGTGCATGTCCAATGGAAGAACAATAATTAAGAAATACCTTTTTAATTACATTTTTTTTCAAATATGCATACTAATAATGTCTGTGCCACAAAGGATTCGTAAGTACTAGGTGTCTTACAAAAGCAGTGAGTGCTCAGACAGTGCAGGGAAAAGATAATTTTTTTCAGGACTCTGATTCTAAACACACCTTAACTAACCAAATTTGTTTTGCTGTTTCCTGATGTACAATGTAGTAATGAGACCACGTCAATAAACCAGAAAAATGATTGTCATCTGCCCCTTGCAGAAGCTGTAATTTTGCTTAGCTAGATGCCCTATTACAAGAGACATGACTGTACGTCACTACTGGCTTTAAGGGGTTGGGAATGAAGAAACTTGCAAATGACAGAGCTCCCTTGAAAAGACAGGCAGCTTAATGTTAACTGTGGAAAGCGTAATATCAACAATTAACTTCTCAGACCCCTAACAAAAGCAGAGGGGCTGTGCAGTGCTGCATTTAGATGCTTTCGGAGTCTTCAGAGATATACCTTTACATATGAAGACTTTCAATACCTTTAAAACTAGTTTTGAAGCTGTTAATCTTTGGGAGCCAGTGCCAGGCTTTCAGCTTCTTCGATTATCTGAAAATGCATCTGGCTGACCACACCCTCTTATTCATGCTGCGATGTTGTATGTGTTGATATTCTAGAATGAGTCTGCAGATTTTAAACACGGAAAATGGAGAAAACGGAGGAAACATCAATGACCATCTAACAGCGGAAGACTCTGCCTTTTTCTTTGCACCACCAGAACCTACAGGGAGACCTTCCATTCTACGCCTGTCCCAGAAAGAAAACTTGCCGCCAAAAAGCGTGGCAAAAGCTATGAAAGTAAACTTTTGCTGTTGTATTGATTATATTCTTTCTGCTTGTATGATCCCTGCTACTGAATGTCTATGCTATTTGGAACATGAAAATATTATGATGTTCATGTTTTCTTTTTTTTCCTCCTTGCCCCTTTCTTAAAGGTAACCTTTCAAACTCCTCTAAGAGATCCTCAGACTCGAAAAATCTTGAGTCCTACTATGATGGATAAACTTGACACTACTTTCACGCTTGATGATTGCAGTGAAGCCTTAGTGGATGATCTTTTATCTGCACCCATCAATGCTGAGTGAGTAATGTATTCGCTGCTAGTAGAAGTAGCAATGTGGGACGTATTCAAGTTAATTTTTCCCCATTATAAACCTGTATACTTAAACTATAATTTTGTATTTTATAACAAGATGTAAACTGCACAAGACCAAAATTAATGCTGACTTTGATGCACAAACTCCTTCTCAAAGATAAAATTTTCTTAAAAGTATGGACAAGTATCTTGGTTGTAATATTGAATATCGAACTCTATTTCTAAATCCTCAGTAACTGATTTCATAAAGATGACATGATATGGATGAATACTTTAAAGAGACACATTAGGCAGGGAATACAGAACTGTTTACTACAGTAAGGTCTTCATGTGAGACAACTATTCTGAAGCCAATCCTTAAAGCTAAGCCTTAAAACTTATTTTCTTCTATATTAAGTACAGTTTTATCTCTTTAGTTTTTCTCCTTAAGATACATCTTCTGAAGAGTTAGCTTAAATTGACACCTTGAGTCAAGGAGTATTAAGATTAAAGAAAATCTAGCCACGCAAAGTGAATATAACATCAATCCCAAGCACAAACAAGTTTGTGTGTCTTGATAGTCTAGCAACCTGGATCTCAAAAGTGGCTCATGGCAGCTGTCTAGAGATGAGCACAAAGTCTACAGTGTTCCAATTTGGGGTTTTGTAACTCTGCTTTCCTGTAAATATTGTTATAATGGTATAATAACGCAATGTTATGACAGTTATTTAATTCATCTCAATGCATGTGTTTTGTTACTGACTTTTTTAGCTCCTTTGTAAACTTGTATAAACATCTGATATCTGAGATTCCTAGTGGCAAGAAGTCTCAAATCTTAGCTGTGTCTTCTGCAAGGAAACACATCCTTTTGCATGTTTTTGACTACCCAAGACTTTCATTTGACCCCTATTCTTGTTTTGGGGAAGGGGAAAAGGGAGAAAGATGGGAACTGTTAAGTGTTCTTTGAATGTATAGATGTGCTTCGACTGTTAACTTGCATGTATACTCTAATTTAGAAAAGTACTACTGAGCTTAGCCATGACAGGTTTTTTTTTAAGTTACTTAATTCGTTTATGCCCCAAACTTAATGCTCACACAAATAAATAGAGATTTTAGTACAAATAAAGTTCAAGTGAGTTGAAAGGGCTAGCACTGAATTGGTTTTAGTTAGGGCATAATAATGTGTTAAGACATTGCTTTTACTGTACCTATCCTTTCTGCTTTTAAAATTTAAAGATCTGTTTGTAACAAACAAGCTAAAGGACTGGGTGTTGCTGAAGGGTGCCACTTCCAACTAGTCTCAAGTAATTCAAGTTTCAAGCAGGTGTCTTGCTCTTGACTGGCATTTATCAGGTTAAACGCTGAAGGAGAAGGGAGGGGCCTGAGTAGTTGAACAAGCCTGGGGCTGAACTACTGCAGGGAGGAGACACTCAAACCGGGTGAGAAGGACTTCCTGAGCTCTTATCTTCGCTTTTGCTTTCGGGTTTATCAAAGTGGTGTTTTTAGTGAGTGGCTTTTAATCGTGTTCTGTTCTACGGCAGATATGGATGGCACAGAAGTAATAACTTTACAAAGGGACAAAACAATGGGAGGAAATCCCGTTTCAGGAAGTAATGGCTTAACTCTCTGTAGTCTGAGGCTAAGTCTCAAAAGTTGAGTAGAGTTTGGGGAAATAAAATGAAGAGCAATAACTTGTAGAATACGCAGCAGTAGTGAGTACACGAAATTTCTTTAACCGGTTTCTTCTGCTAGAGAATCTTATCTTTCTCTTACTGGGGAAGTATTCTCATGTATACTGCTTTGCTCTTCAGATCTGATGTTGAACAGAATTTAGAGTGCCTGAAGTTCAGATTCTGTTTTGATATGTAGGCCCTCATAGATGAAATGCTGTGTGTACCTTCAGGGGAAAAATATCTGTCAGAATGACCAGACAAAGTAATAACTAGAGTGAGAGAACCTGAGTAATGACTGAGTTTGTTCCTAGACTTGTGACTATGTCATGACTCATAGACGAATCTACATGAAGATGTTCTACTAGTTGTGACTGTGTTTGAGCTGGTTATTGTTAATAACTCCCCCGAAGCGGTGTGTATTTCATTGTCTAGTGAAATGGAAATGTCCATATGCTGTAGCGAGTAGAAAAGTCTTCAGTGATGACTGGCATAAAGTAACACAGCTGTGTAGAGTAGGTAGCTTAAGAATACTGACTGGTTTCAAGGATTGGTCTCCCTATGGTTCGTATGTACTAGAGCTCGTAACTTCTGACTGTTTGGGTGGCAACTGAATTCTTGCTGTTACAATATTCTTTTACTGTCAGCTGCCTTGTGTCAAAAAACCCCAAATTACTCTGAGCATATGAAGTTACTTGTGCAAATATCCTTCTAAAGATGATTTCACATTATGTCTAAAAAAATATATGCTATAGCATGTGTGATCTGACTGTTTTTATAATGCAGCACATGTCAACAAAAGACTGAAGCTGATAATACAGTGATAAACACACAAATGCCAGAGAAGGTCAGTGCAGCTCCTTACCCAGATGATGAGATGCCAGTGAAGAGTCGAGGCTCCTACAATCTTGATTTTGATAACTTAAATGACATCAATCCCTTTCAAAGTTCAGTGCAGTTGCAGCATTCTCCTGGAAATCTGCAAGAGTCTCCTGTAAAAGCATCTAGCAGCCCTGAGAAAAGTAATGATTCTCTTCTGGATGATACAGCTTCTTTTGCTTCAACCACAGCAAGTACAGAGTGCTCAAGTGAGGGCAAGACTCTTTTCCAGAGAAAAGAATCTGTGCTGAGAGAGCTGGAGTCTAACAAATCCAAGCTGTCTGCTAAGCAAGCAATCAGTGACTGTGTGCAGGATGTGAAGTTTGCTTCCACAGATGTGAGCCAAATTGATAATTCAGTGGGATTAGCAGAAGGACCTACACCTCCTGTACAGTTATCTGACGACTTAGGTCCCAGTAGTTCTGATGTAACTAATTCTTCTAAAACTGGAGAATTGAAGCTTCAAAATGTTTCAGTAGCAGAAAAAGCCTCTGCAGAAGAGCTGGCTATCTCCAAAGGAGAACCTGCAGAAAAGCCTGATGTCACCAAGGCTGGACCAGTAAAACTGGAATTTGACTTTGATAACACCACTGCTAGAAAGCCACCTCCTAAGAAACTAGGTAAAAGAACTGGACTTAAGCCACCTTCCAAGAAAACTCCTATTACCAAAATGAAAACAGAGAATACTGAAGTGCAAAGTAAAAGTAGTGTGGAAGATGAAATCCCTGTTCCCAAAGCATCTTATAAGTTTGACTGGGACAAACTTGATGATCCAAACTTCAATCCATTTGGAGGAGGCTCTAAAATTTCCAGTTCACCCGAGTGTTCTAAACCTATCCCTCCGAAAGCTCATCTGCAAGAGGAGCAAGTTAGTACGTCATCAAGAAGGGAGTCTCTTCCAGTGGAGCAGGATAACAGACCAAGTACCTGTGAAACTCTGGAGAAAAGAGAACCTAAAACTCCGTAAGTAAATCTGTAGCTGAATGTAGAAGCAACTCGAACTCATGTGAGGTGAGGAGAAGATAGTTAGATGGTATCTCTAACTAGTTGATTCTTACCTGCTTGACTTCTGCCCTTCAAGGTTGACTGAGTCTGTTAGGTGTTGTAACCTTTAACACAGTGTGTTGCAACAGTAGAGATCTTGTTGGAGAAACCTTTCTGAGATGGCTAGCTCTTGGTAAAAGGTGCTGTTAAAGCTGGAGGAATGGAAGGGAACAGACTTAGATGGGAAGAAATCAAGTGTGGATTTTTTTACCCACTCCTCCAAGATTTGAGTAAAATGTGGAGAATCAGGTGACTGCTGCTGTCTTTCAAGAAACAGATAAGTAAGCAGCAGTGTTGCACATCATAGAATCATAGAATGGTTAGAGTTGGAAGGGACCTCAAAGATCATCTAGTTCCAACCCCCCTGCCATGGTTGCCCAAAGCAACCCCCCCACTACACCAGGTTGCCCAAAGCCTCATCCAACCTGGACTTGAACACTTCCAGGGATGGGGCATCCACAGCTTCTCTGGGCAGCCTGTTCCAGTGCCTCAGCACCCTCTGAGTGAAAAATTTCTTCCTTATATCTAATCAAAATCTCCCCTCTTTGAGTTTAAATCCATTGCCCCTTGCCCTATCACTACATGCCCTTGTAAAAAGTCCCTCTCCAGCTTTCCTGTAGGCCCCCTTTAAGTACTGGAAGGCTGCAATAAGATCACCCCGGAGCCTCCTCTTCTTCAGGCTGAACAGCCCCAACTCTCTCAGCCTGTCTTCATAGCAGAGGTGCTCCAGCCCTCAGGTCATGCAGCATGTGAAGGGACTAGGCAATGCTGTTCTCTGCTTAGTGTCCTGGCTGAACTCTGAGGTGCTCTTTCTTCCTTGTGTGTTCCTGGTATGTCAATGCTATCTCCAATAAAAAGGCCTGTCACTAAAGTTGTGGGAGTTTTGGCACCACATAAAACTTTTTATTTGAGGGTGAGAGATGTTGTGTTTGCTTTCTTAGAAAATCTAACTATTAAAATGTCAGCATTACTACAGATAGCCAAGTAGTTACCAGAACTAGACTGGCACAAGATGTTCATTTAACAGAAATGTTTGCTTTCTTGCTCCGTGTAGAACATGATCAGCTACTGTTTACCAAGTTGGAAAGTTAAGTTTGTGCTGTCAGCAGTTAACTGAAGTAATTGGACTGCATTAAAAAAGTTCTGTGCTTTACACCAATAATCACTGCATTACGTTGGAAAGAGTAGCAGACTGCTTGTAATTCTGTTCTTAATTAAACAAAAAGCATATCTTTAATTAAAAAAAATAGTGGGCTTAACAAATGGAACTAGGAGAACAATGCTGAATGAATAGGAATAAGTGATACTGCTGTGACTGTTTCTCAGCACTGCTTCTGATGGAGGGAGAGCTTTCTGTCACTTAAGTTGTCACCAGACAAGACAATGAATTTATGTCCCTGTCCTCCTTAAAGCTTCCTGTACTGTGGCAGTAGAAACTCTCAAATAAGCTTACTCTGTTCAGTGCTTCAGTATATCTGGTAAATAGAATTCAGAACTGTCTGTATGACTTGAATTTTGAGGTTTTTTTATTTTTTCTTTAGGGAAAACAGCAGACAGAGTGTGATGGAAGACAAGGCTCAAACTCAAGGAGATAAAGAAGGAGTTAAAGCAGAAGCTGAGCTTCCAGGAGAGATAGCCAAGGTAAAGTATAGGAAAGACAGCCAGTTCTTACCAAGTTGTTCTATGAAACAGAGTTCTTTGACTCAACCTTGTCAAACCCATGTTTGATATTTTGTCTAAGAATTAGTGGGTTTATGCATGTTCAGCAGCTCTAGAATGAGCATCAACTGTGCAGACTTGTCTTTTGAAGGTGACATCAGAGACAGCCAAATTGGAACCCTGGTATTTAGTATCTTTTTTGATCAGCAGTCACATACAAGGACAAACATAAGGGCGTGGACTCTTAAAAAAGTGACTCCTGTGTAATATGAACTGTACTCAGTGTTGGTAGTTGAGTTTCTATGCCTGTGAACTCTTGGTTTATTATGCTGGCTGCCCAGCTACTTTATGACGAACCGATTTGATCATTATTGTGACTCCCATTGCATTTAAATCATAATTTTAACAGTAAAAAAGGACTGTTTTTCTCATCAGGAGAAGCAGATGAGCCTGTCTAAAATGTCTCCAGCTAATGTCCCCTCTCAAGATAATATGATTGCTGCTGACAGTGGGAAAAAGTCAGTGTCTGCAGAAGAAATTAAACTTAGTTCCCACAGAACTGAAATAACAGCAGATGAGCAAACAGCCAGCACTGAACCTGAAGAGCTCTTCAGACCATCATCAGAAGGTAAGCGCATTTCTTTAGAATAGACTGAAAATATATTGTTACAATAACCTCTGTGTATGTACTTCTCTACTTCAGTTTTAGCATTGATTCTAGTTTTTTGTTTCTCATTCTGCTCTTCTGAATGGACTTGAAACCCTACAATGACTAGCAGAGGTGGGCAACGTACCTAAGCCAGACCTTAACTTGGTCTGAATCAAGCTAAAGTCAGAAATCTGACTGTTAGCATTCAGCGGCCTGGAAGAATGAAATTTAGGCTGGTACAGAAGCAGTCTTTTTAGAGTTTCAGGGGCAGCTTTCTGTGCTGAAAAAACACTCCCTTAAAATCGCTTCTGGTATTAAAGACTTTCTAAATTGAGAGCACTAGAGCTGTGCAACTGCCTCTATTTGAGTCTTGTAGATTACTGCAGGCCTTAGCACTACTCGAATACTGATTTCATATTGCAGTGCGGATGATCTTTCTGCACTTGCCTGCCTGTCTTGAAAGCTTACTACATAGCTGTGACTTAACCACCTGGAAGGGTTATTCCTTGTAGGAGCACTGTGTGGAAGGATGAGTGAATGACTTGACTGCAGTGCAGTCTGTCACTTATCTTAATATACTGATTCCACTCAAGTATTGAGAAATCATAGAATGGTTTGGGCTGGAAGGGATCTCAAAGATCATCTAGTTCCACCCCCCCTGCCATGGGCAGGGACACCTTCCACTACACCAGGTTGCTCAAAGCCTCATCCAGCCTGGCCTTGAACACCTCCAGGGATGGGGCACCCACAACTTCTCTAGGCAACCTGTTCTACGTGGCTATAACGTTGTTGTCCAAATCTGACCTGTCTGCTAATTTCAGATTGGCTAGATTGCCAATCTTATGCTTTTATGGAACATTGTATAAAACAGCAGAATATCTGAGTGTACTTGCTGCTTAACCATAGAACAACAGGAGTTCTTCAACTGTGTGTTAAATTCTACATATTCTTACAGGTATTTGGAGACAAATGAAAGCTGTATGTTTGCTTACTTTAGAAATCTTTGCTTGATTTATTATTTTTTTTCAAGTCCAGAGAAAAATACAGTATTTTTAGCAAACAAAAAATTAGAGCTACTGACATGAGCAGGGATTTATTTGCTTTATACAGATACCTATTTGTTTCTGTCTGTGGGTGCTTCGCTGTAAGACAATAACAATATTGTACTTTAATTGTATCATTTCCTTTTCTAGTTCTAGGAACAGGCATAGAAATAGACTATCTGGAACAGTTTGGGACTTCATCAGTAAGTATGACATTGAAATATTTTGTTTGCCTCCCTGACAGAGGGGAGAAGAAAGAAAAATGACACTGTCAAGCCTTAAATGTTTCATGAAATCACTTGGAACTTGCCCACAGAAATATAGATTATACTTTGGAGGAATGTATCTACAAAGCTGGGCGGGGGATGGTGGTGGAAGGAAATAGAGTTAGAAGCAATTCTGCTAAGCATCAGAGATCTTATGCTATTTTTCTTTAATAGTAGTGAAACTGAGATGGATGACGTTTCACCTCTCTGGTTGCCAAAACTGCCAGAACATAATGCTTTGAAAGTGCAGGATCATTGTTTTGAAACTATTTTTTTTCTAAGCTCTTTTGTTTTATGGGCAGTTTCAGGAAATCTGTCTCTAAATTGGGCATGTCATGTTTTAATCAGTTCAGCTTAGTTATTCTTTCTGCTACTTCGGTCCAGCGTAGGAGTGGCTCTGAATACGCAGCGAATATACTGAATTGAAATTTTTTGTCATGCTGTGTTTGTCCTTGTTGCTGTATGAGCAAAGGCAGAGAATGACATACACTGCTCATTCAGCTTACCATACTATCTTCCCTTTTCAGTGTCTTCTGCTGTTTTTGGATAGTTCACAAAAGTTTGCCCTTTTGGTTCTGTCTGAGCAGATTGAGTTCACTTGATATTACATAAGGACTTAAGCATGTGGGCACTGAGTTCTGTTACGTAATTTTTCTCCTGAGAACAATGCTCTGGCCACTGGAGAATAGGCGCTCTCTCTCTCCAGAGGACTATTTATATGTGTATGTGGGATGTGTGTGTTATGCTATGAAGCAGCATATCTGCCAGTTTATGCCTCTTTCCCCTCAGTTCAAAGAGTCTGCCTTGAGGAAACAGTCACTGTATTTGAAGTTTGACCCTCTGTTGAGAGACAGTCCGAGAAAACCAGTTTCTGGTACTATTGAAACAAACTTGAATATCATGACAGCTCCACTTCAGTGTGGGTAGGTATTGACCTAGTCCAGGCTGTAGTACATAGTTTTACAAAGAAAGGCAGCGCTTGAATATAATGGCATATGTTTGTTCATTTTTAGTCCTGTTGCTGATTTAAGTAAAGTGCTTGAGGAAGCTGAAAAGCCTGCAGTGAGTCTTCAAAATGAAGAAAAACCAAAAGGACTAGATCTTCTGGGAACTTTTACAACTTCTGTAAGGGTGTCTGGAATGGTATCAGGTTTCACTTTTGATAAATTTTGGGAAAGGGATGGGTTAGCGTCTCGATTTAATACTTATTTGGATATTCCAAGGATTTCAGAATACTTAATGCTTATTTAAACTGTTATCTTAAAAACCAGGTTGGATAGTCACTTATATAAAAAAAATGAAGACCACCAAAAAGTTTGATTTTTGAAGTATTGAAAACATTTTTTTTGGAGAAACTGGTGGTGTTGCACATGGTCTGGGAGAATTCAAGCTGTTTTTAAGAATGCTTTAATCAAGCAGTCTTTCATGCAGCTGAAGCCACGAAATTTTAATTGCACTGCTGGGATGAAAAGCACTTCTTTGATTAAACTCGATGCTCTGCAGTGTAAGGTTTATAGTTTGAACAGATCTATACACAACATCCTGAAATGGTGCTTTTTTTACTGGTGGGGAGCAGTGTGGTGTCACCTGCTTTGTTTCTGATACCTATAATTGCTGGATAGCAGTTTCTCTTATACTTTAAAGATAACTACATAGTTCTAAAAGATATCTATGAGGTAAGAAAGTTATGGTAATGAAGTTACAGTGGCTTTTGGGGTGTTTAAGTAAAATATGTTGAGTTAGCATAGAATAATTTGCATACAGCTAATCAATGGCATGAAAATAGGAATCTGAAACTCCCGTCTTTTTTTTTTCCTCCTCACAGGACACAGATCCTCTAATTCCAGACACCCTGACTGGTGATGTTCCTCCACACCCTTTTACTGCTTCCACAAACACTGCAGTGGATGCTATTATAGATGTGCTAAAATATAGCCAAAAAGACATGGATGCAGCTGTTGAACTGGTTGAGAGAGAGGTATCGTGGCTGTTCCAAAGCATAACTTTGCATAGCCTTGGAATTTCCTTGTATTTAGATTATCTGGTATAAATCTTTATGCTTGGTAGTTCTTTCCATCGTCCTTGACATAAGCATCCCATTCTGAAAAGCTTGCTGTGCACTTGGTAGGAACAGTAGGTACAGAACTAAAAACTGTTCAGACAAAATACAGTCAGCTTCACTAATACTCAGGTTCAGACTTGGAACTGATGAGTATTAAAAAGCATCTGTTGTCAGATGGAGTGGTTTGGCTTAGTATCAGTGATCTGAATACTCTTTAATGAACTGGGCAGGAAACACCTGTTCTTGCCAACGGGATGGAGCAACTTCATAAATAAACATAATTACTTCCTTAAAACAAGATAAAACTGTAATGCCAATTCAGTGCAGTGATCAATTTGTTTTTGTAGGTGTTGTGGTTTAATCTGGCCAGCAACTAAATGTCATGCAGCGGCTTGCTCACCCTCCCCCACCTCCCTGGGAATGAGGAAGACAATTAAAGGAGAAAAGGAAGGGGACTTGTGGGTTGAAATAAGAACAATTTAATAATAATAATATAAAATTAGAATAGTCATAAAATAATATATGAATGAAAAAAAATATAATATACAAACAAGTGATGCACAGTAGAATTGCTCACCACCTGGTGACCAATGTCTGTCCTGTCCTGGCAAGCCATCCTGAAACAGTTAAGTCCTGACACCACAATCCTGGATGAGTGAGGCCTGAAAAGAGATGGAGAGAGACAGAACTCGGTGTCCCCCAGAAGAGAGAGATTCCAGCCTCTCGATCAACCCTTGTCTATATTCTGGGCATGACGTTGCATGATATGGAATATTCCACTGGCCAATTTGACCCTCAATCCTAAGTCTAAATTCAAATCATAAGAGTTGTGTCCCTTTGTCTTAACTATGCTCCTTCCCAGCCTGTTGTGCTCCTGCATATTGGCAAAACATGGGAAGCTGAAAAGTCTTCACTGTTTCAGTTCCAACTATAAACATCAGTGGACTATCAACATTTTTCTCGTAACAAATCCCATACTAAATTAAAAAACATGGAGCTCTTCTAGCTATTAAAAAGGAGAACTGTCTTTGTCCCAGTGGAAACCAGGACAGTGGGATGGAGAGGCATAACAGTATGTTCCGGTAATAAAATCAAAGTGAGATCTAGAGCTCACTCTGGAGGAGAACATCATCAGTGGAGGAGGCAAGAAGTAGTTGGTGGGATTTCAAGTATATTCTGTAACTAGATCAATACAGAAATTGCTTTTGAACCTCCATCTTACTGATGCGAGAGGAGTTACGTATCCGCTCACCTCAAAAATCTGAGTACTTGGTTCATTATGCCTTCTGTGTTATGTAACCTTACAAATACAAAATAACCTAAGAGGAGTACTTAAAGCTTAAGTGTCCTTAAAGCTAATGATGTCACTTCAAAATTAAATTCAGAAGAAAACAGAGCATTCCAATTTCCTGACGAGCTGTACTGCAGGCAGTGACACTAAGGACACCAAATGAAGATGGCCTGCGATTGTTTGCTGCCTAAGTTATTTCCCTTTGGAGTACAAAGATGCTAGCTTTTCTAGGAGTAACTTTTGCTTCCTGTCATGCTTCCAACAACCCAGCATGTTGTCTAGTCCAGGAAAACAAGCGCAGCTTTGATAGGGGACAGCTCTTAGTGCATTGATCTAAAATGAAGAATTTATATAATAACAGGGGGTAAAGCTTGTAATATCTTAAAATGGGTGCTCTAATCTCTCCTTTCAAAGAACTATTTTAAACGTGCAAACAGTTTAGCAAGACAGGTTTGACTACCTGGATGACTCCATCTGTGTGTCACTTAATATGTTAACTCCAAGCATTTTTATTTAACCTGAAAGGAAGACAGACTAAATTCTAAGATTACTTTTTTGTGAAACAACTCAAGAATGGGAGGAGGGGTGGGGAGGGGGGAAGCTAACTGTTTAACTTCTGTGCAGGTACAGCACTTCATGAAAGCAAGCCCTTTTGGGTCTACTAAACCATTTCTGTTAAGTTTACAAATGAAAGTTTTTAATTGGTTTCTGTCTTCAAACGTTTTTGCTTTTGTAACATTTATTTCTAGCTTAACTATTGTTCATTCTCTCTTTATCTTTTGGTACATTCTTTTGTCGCTTGTGCCCTGCTTCCTGTTGTCTGAAATATTACTATTATCTAAAATGAGTTTACTCTAAAAATCAATACTGAGAATTAGTGTACTACAGTGTACTGTGCAACTGTGAGGGGGAATCAGCAGTAATCATGTGCTCTCACCTTCTCTTGTTTAAAATTCCAAGTTGTTTTATGTGTTTTGGGCCTCTGTTGTCACTGAAGGCCTTCCACGCTGCAGTCAACTATGTGTTCTACTACTCAATAGAAACTCCAGGACAAAACTAAGTTCTTGGAGTTTGTGCAAATCATTTAGCAAAGAGTGCTTATACTGCTTAATACTGTTACTGTGAGGTCTGCTTTAATTCATCTGATATGAAATAGGTATGGTTATTCATAGTGAACTGAGGTGCCTTTAAATTTGGAAAGATGGTAGAGGGAGGATTGTGTTGAATACAAATGAATCCAAACAGCAATTTGATCTTGACTAGAACAGCCTTCTGGTATTTGCTTTTTCTTGTGTTAAGATTAGCATATTTGTGTGGCTTATTTTGTCTGCCTTCTAAATAAGAGAAACCTGTATCACTTGAGAGAATATTACTTCTTGAGAGAATGTTATTGGCCAAGGAACAATGATCTACCCATAGGATGAACAAGAGTAGCCAAGAGGTTGGCTGAGTTGGCTCTGATCTTGCTATTTGAGAGATGTTCAAGGCCAGGTTGGACAAGGCCCTGAGCAACCTGATCTAGTTGGAGATATCCCTGTTCCTTGCAGGGGGGTTGGACTAGATGACCTTTGAAGGTCCCTTCCAGCCCTAACCATTCTATGATTCTATGATTCTATGTTGGTAGAATTGTGTAGGAATCATGTATATGAAACTTACAAATCATTCTACATCTTATTTAACTCAAGTTTGTAATAAACCACTTCATTGTGAATCTGCTAATCAGTTAGAACTTATCTTTCTGTACATCAAGTTATAAGTATACCTAAGCTGCCTTTCAGACTGTTCTGAGCATCAAATCTCATATCTCTTCCTGTGCAAGAATAAGTTTGCTTTTTCTCTCAAAGGTTCAAGAGAAAGAGTTGGAGATTCAAGAATGGAAAAAAAAGTATGATAAGCTTCATATGGAATACAAGGAAATGGGGTATGAATCTGTCTTGATTTTTGTATCTACTTATTTACTCCAGATGCTTTTTCTAACTTTTTCATGTTTTTTAGAAAAATAGTTGCTGACTTCGAAGGTACAATGACACAAATGATGGGTAAGTTCCATATTTACACTTGTAATGGCTTGGGAAGTGGTGGGGCATGGTTAGCCTAAGGTTACTAACTGAAGGTAGTAGTCTTTCGCTTCTGATGACACTAATATTTCAAGTGCTTCCAGGTTGAGTGTAAGGTTTCAGACAGGGTAGTTAGAGTAACACTTATGCATATTCGTACAGACATGATAGTGCTTGGTTGGTAACGGTGACTTCCTGAATCAGACATGAACACATCTGACTCTTTCTTATTCTCCAGTGGAGTGTGAGCTGTTGGCGTATTAAAACTGACAGATCCAGTTGTCTGCACCTTGTGTTTAACTGTTTATTATCTGGCCTCATTTAAGTGATAAGATGTCAATAGGAAGTCTTGCTGGACAGATCTGACCTTTGCTTCAGCCAAGTTTGTGGCTACAAACCTAGGAAGAAGTTAAATTGAAACTCTTGTTGTATAGGTACATTCTCCTAGTTCAAAGCTGGATAGCCCAATCAGTGCCTTGCTTAAATTTAGTTCTTTAAGGAGACTGAAAATTAGGTCAGCTTTTTGATGCTTCTTTAAGCCTGTGGGAAACATAGCTCAGATGTGCTAACAAGAACTTGTTCTGAAAGAGTTTGCTATGCTAGTTTAGCTTGTTATCCCAGTCTCCTCCAGATCTTCTAGCTACTGTGCATATTTAATGAAAACATATTTTTTGATTCCTTGCTTCTATGGCAACATTTGAGGCTCCTGTTATGGTAAACTTGGGTGTAGTATTTTGACTATGTTGCAGAAGAAACAATGCTTTGGGCAAGCACCTTATCAGTCTTTAATGGCCTTGGGATTGGTGTGATCTAGAGTGTGGCAAATAAAGAGAATATGACTACTTCCTTAAAGGAAAGATAGGGTGTCCTTTCAGAGGAGATGCTATATTATGAAACCTTTTTTTGCTTAAGGAGGAGAATTGAAGGTGTGGGAGTTGTCTGTCCATACTATGGAACTAGTCTTATGCTGATGCAGTAACTGTCATGAGTGTAACCCTGTTAACTCCACTTTCTCTAGAGGATGCTCAGAATCAGAAGGAATTTTCAAAGAAGGAAATGCAGAGGATGGAGGAAGAGAAGCAACATGTTATTTCAGATCTGAACTTTATGGAAAAATCTTTCTCTGAACTCTTCAAACGATTTGAAAAACAGAAAGAAGTGCTAGAGGGTTACCGCAAAGTAAGATGCTATAATACAAACAATATCCTTCCAAGATAAATGAGACTTAGTGGAAACTAATTTCTAGAGCAGCCATTAACTAGCTAATATAGGCACTACCTGTAAAACCAGGTACTAAGTTGTTTAAATAAAGATTTAGAAAAATTACTGGTTTGTTGTATTTAGTGGCTGGCTTAAAGTAAGATAATGAGATGTTTCTGCTAGAAGCCAAAGTTTCTTCAAATAGAAGAATGAACTGTTTCTTGCTGCATGTGTATCATTTTTCTGTTTATCTGAGACATGCTCATGTACCAACTGCTTCAGAAGGGCAGCTTGTTTCCTCTATATCATGTTGAATGAATGCTAAAGAGGATTTGCTATTATAAGTCAAAATGATAATAGTTTATGGGGTGTTCTTTAGCTTAAGAAAACCCAGCTTGGTAAAGACAGGGCTTCATTCTGCTGCATCTTCAAAAACTGGAAGAAGTAAGCTAATGAGGAGCATAAACTATGGTTTCTTATTGCATGAGATGCATAAAAATTGACTTAGTTGATGTCTAAAAAAAGTACCTTCAGATTTTTTCCTTTGGTTATCCTTTGATGTCCCCTATTTACTCAAGCTTAAAACCAGTGTTCCACCAAGTTTCGTGGTAGTCTAGGTTTGAGAAACAGGCATAACGTTTGTGTTACAGCAAGCTTCTGCTTTACTAACCCATCAGGCTTCCTTCATCTGGTGTCTCTTCCATCTCTCCACCTTAGATTCAGAAACTCTTTCCTCAGCACATAGCTAAAGCATCACTTGGAAGCAGAGTTGCTAAATTCAAGAGCTGGAATTAGTAGGGAGTCTTAGCACTTGTTTCAAACAGTCCCAACTTGCTATAAAAGCTGATAAAATAAGGTGTCATAGTGTCTGTGTCTACCAAGGTAACTTGCTGCTAATGTTGGATTCATTTACATCAGGGTCTAAAGCCTGAATTTTTTTGTGGATTCTCTGAAGTAGTTGGATTTCTAGCTATTCTTAGGACAGTTGCAAGCTAAGACAAAGTTGATTTAAAAACAAAAAAGAAAAAAGAAACTTAAACAACAAAGCAAAACACACAGAACTGATTAGTGACCTCTAGTTTCAGTGACCTTTGCCCTTCAGTAAAGTTTGCTATTAAATAAGCAGTATATTGGGAGGGATATAAGATGAATAAATCTTAGTTTGCAAACTTAAGACATTTGAAAGGAGGAGCTTTAGTCCCTATATGGATCTGTGGGACTTCATAGTTGTTCCTGTTGTTCTGAAAAGCAAATGCTGCTACTTTGGTGCAGTCAAATAGCCCATTTGTGAAGTGGAGAGACTCTTGCATTTGCTAGAACATAAAAAGCTAACTAAGTTGCTTGGTTTTGGAACAGAATGAAGAAGCTCTGAAAAAATGTGTTGAAGAATACCTGGCTAGAATTAAAAAAGAGGAGCAGAGATATCAGGCACTAAAGGCACATGCTGAAGAAAAGCTGCATCAGTAAGTACCATGTCAAGAAGGCAAGTACTGGGAGTGAAACATATGTAGTTTTCACAGTTGCTGCAAAACATGGTTCATTAATACCAAAACTTGGTTTAAAACATTTTTACTTTAGGGATTAATCCTAAGTACAAGCATCTAGTGTGATTCTATGAACAGTTTTGCTGTGCTGTCTGAAGGGAATGTAAACACCATCTTGCTTCCGTTTCAGAGCCAATGAGGAAATTGCCCAGGTACGAAGCAAAGCTAAATCAGAGGCTGCAGCACTGCAAGCCAGTCTCCGTAAAGAACAAATGAGGATCCAGTCTTTAGAGAGGAGCCTTGAACAGAAGGTTAGTCAAAATGCCAGGGGTGAGTCTCTTCAAGCTATAGCCTTAGACTGGGTCAAGAACTACCTTGTACCAGTGCTGGAAATAGCCATGCTAACTGTGCTGGTTTTGGTGGCTGCTGTCCTGGCAGGCTTTTGGGAGCAGTAATTGAAACTTAAGGCACAGCTCTGTCCAGACTCATCTGTATGTTTAGGTTTTTTGGAGTAAAAGATTTGTTCCCACAGATAAGTCGCAGAAGTTAGCGTTGAGGCTACTGTGTCAGGAGGCGATCTGAACTACTGACGGAGATGTTTAAGTTCTAGATCACCATGTCCCAGAGCAGAATCTGGGACTGAATCTTGAATAACTGTCTGGTTCAGCTTGTTCATAAACGTATGATTTGTAAGCTATTAGCACTAATACAGACTCTTTTGTATTGACTGGACTCTTTCAGTGTTCAGGCCATTAATCCTTGTCTTTGATATTGTTTCATATTGCATAGATAAAGTCTTGGAATGTTTGTAAAGGTGCATCAGTTTCCTTTGTTAGAACCCTTCAAAGGAAAAAGCTTTGAGGGTTAAAAGTCATATTGCTGGAAATGCATTCTATTAGTTTTACTGCATCAGGGTTGTATCCTTGTCAGTATTGAAAACTCAGAAATAGATAATGCTGACACATTCCTGTTAGGGAAAAGTCCCGTGTTTGTGTTTGTCTTCAGGCTTATGGCTAAGGTTTGCATAGCTGAAGAAGCAGTAGGCCTGTAACTGGAGAGATGAGACAAGCCACTTAACACAGAACTTATTTTGTTCCTGTTACAAATACAGTAACACTTTGTTAAGAATTCTTATTAAAATGATTTGACCATATTATACAAACTGGAAATGATTGCCATATGTCAGGAAAAGTATCAAAGCATCATTCTACAGAATTGTCTGTCTTGTGAAGACTAAAATCTGAACTGTCACTATCTTGAATTGCAAGGACTGAGTCTGAAAAGTCTTATTTCCTTACAACAATTGATCTCCATGTATTATGGGAAAGTCTGGAAGAAGTAGAGACAGTATAGCAGGTTCTGTTCATTTCCTGAGTCTCTTAAGGTTGCCATGTGACCTCTACAGCATAGATTGTCCCTTAGAGTAAATTTGCATGTCACTAGCTTGTAAATGGACTTTCTGTTCCATATGTTGGCAAACATGACTTGTTTGGACTCAGCTCACTACATGGATATAGCATAGCTTAGGCATACCTGAAACTAATTATTTTATATTTTGTTTGTTTTCAACAGACGAAAGAAAATGATGAACTAACAAAAATCTGTGATGACTTGATCTTGAAGATGGAAAAAATTTGATAGCTTAACTGTCTTCTAAATGTGTAGTCTCTCTGACTTCCTGTCTTCTGTGTTTGCTCACTGTTTTAATTATATTTGTGGGGGGAAATAAAACTCTTGTTTGCACTTCTCTTGCATATTATTTGCTGTATGTTTTGTAGGAAATGTCAATAAACTTTAGTTCAGTTAAGACTTTGAGTAGGTAACAATGTCTTGCATAACACTTTCACATGTTGCCCAAAGGAAAAACTTTTAATCCTCTCGCTCTGTCTTTTCCCTGTGTAAGAACACCACGGATCTGGCTTTGCTGGTGAGGGTCAGCATTGACCATGTCTCCATTTTGCACTTCCTGCTGTCTCGCTTAAATCAAAAAAATTCCAGATTTACAAGATGGTAATAAAACTTGACCTGTCACAAATGCTATAAAGTGACAGTGATGTAAAAAATGTACATTTTAGTGATGTAAAAAAAATTCAGAACTTCATTTTCTTTTTAAAGAGGAACTGGAGTGATTCTCTTTTTGCAGACAAGCTAAGCAGAGTACTGAATAGCAGGACAAACTGCTTGCTGCTCTATTTCCATGATTTCTTTTTTATGTCATTATTCTGTCTGATGCTATTGACTTTCCAGTTACCAGCTGAGAACTCCCTGCCACTTGCCTGTAATGGAAAGCCTTGAGAGATGTAGGCTGCAGGTCACAGGTTATGATGAAGTCAGCTTTAATTAGAGGAATAGCAAATGCCTCAGATGAGCTATTGTTACCTAACAGATGCTAACAGGTTGGTCTCATTGCAAGCTACAGCTTTTTATTTCTAATGGTATGGGGAGGTCATTCCCTCACTTGCCTGACTAGTAGCTGCATTCTCCTCTCAGAGGGCTGTTGCTGCAGGATGTGCTCTTAGCTGTACTTGGAGCCCTTCCCTGGTGTGTGAGGGTAGTCTGCCAGGGCAGGTGAAAAAATGAACAGCAGTACTGAAGAGTCTGGGGTCTGCTCCTTGGTTAAGTAGCTGCTGATCAGTCTTGGAACATGTATTGGCAATTGTGTATAGCAAGAACACCCCATAGAGCAGAGCAGATACACAGTTAATTATGGTGACCTTATAGCGGTCTTCCAGTACCTCAAGGGGGCCTACAAGAAAGATGGGGAGAGGCTGTTCAGGAGGGCCAGTTGTGATAGGACAAGGGGTAATGGTTTTAAAATAGAGGAAGGTAGATTCAGGTTGGATATTAGGAAAAAATTTTTTACCATGAGAGTTGTAGAACACTGGAACAGGTTGCTCAGAGAGGTGGTGGATGCTTTGTCCCTGGAGACGTTCAAGGCCAGGTTAGATGAGGCCCTGAGCAACCTGATCTAGTTGGAGATATCCCTGTTCCTTGCAGGGGGGTTGGACTAGATGACCTTTGAAGGTCCCTTCCAGCCCTAACAATTCTATGATTCTAATTAACGCTGGGGAGGTCTTTTAGCAGTCTTCCAGTTCCTAAAGGGGGTCTGCAAGAAAGCTGGGGAGGGATTTTTACAAGGGTGTGCAGTAATAGGATAAGGGGCAATGGCTTTAAACTGAAAGAGGGGAGATTTCAATTAGATCTAAGAAAGAAGTGTTTTACAATGAGAGTGGTGAAGCACTGGAACAGGTTGCCCAGAGAAGTTGCCTTGAACACTTCCAGGGATGGGGCAGACTATGTCGGATGAGGCTTTGAGCAACCTGATCTAGTGGCAGATCTCCCAGCCCACAGCAGAGGTGCTGGAACTAGATGATCTTTGAAGTCCTTTCCAACTCAAACCACTCTGAGTATGAAGTTCATGGTATGTTGGGTTTTCTCTGTGATTTCTGCACTAATCTGATAGTGTCAGTATGAAGTTGGTAGCAACAATGTTGAATGCCTAGCTCCTGCAGATGTTGTGCTGCTGTGTTTTCTTTGATTTATAGCTTAGGGAAGTGCTAGATGGTGGGTGGCAGAGAATAAACTAGTCGTAGAACAGCCTACAAAACCAAAGTTTGCTCCTTGCCTCAACTTCAGATGGCAGGGATTTCTTCTCCAGGCTGTGTCTTGAGATGTTTTTTCATAATGGACTTAACCATATAGCTGAGAAGCTTTGTAATTGGTCTAATTAGTGAACTGTCTTGCCAATATGTGTTTAATTATGGAAACTGATTTCTATTGGAGTCCTCAGTGAATACTGAGGTTAACAGGCTGATGTAACCTAGATTAGATAAACTGATTCAGCATGCATCCACAGGGGGTAGGGCTGCTCCTTCCTCCCTGGTGTTGGATCATCTCAGTCATGTGATGAGGTAGACAAACTGGTCTAGGGGAAAGGGTGTTGACTGGAAGAAACTACTGTTTTGCAGTGTATCAGTGTGCTGTGCAGGTTCACTTTGTACATCTGAAACAAAAAAGGGGTAGAAAAGGGCAGAGCATTTCAGCAGAATCCCTGGCTAGATAAATGCAGAGCTGAACTTGCATTATTAGCTTTATAAATAAACAGACATTATTAGGGATGAGCCTGCAATGCTGAATCTTTCCACAAGATGTAGCTGCTGCTCTTTGAAATAGTGGCTGTACTAAACTGAGCTGTGCTTCAGCACATTGCAGAGCTTCAGACCGTCCCTCTCTGCTCTAGTTGTTCTTAATGCTAATAAAACAACTGTTTTGGCAGATTCCTGTTGGAAAGGATAAAGAGCTGCAAAGTGATGTATGCCAACAGACTGTGTGTAAACAGTGACCATACTATCTGAAGTTTTTGTGCTACAGGTGCCAAAGTGTTCATAGAATCATAGAATGATTTGTGTTGTAAAGGACCTTAAAAATCATTCAGTTACTTGCAAATTCTCTGCCATGGGCAGGGACACCCTCCACTACACCAGGCTTTCCTTATCCAGCCTGGCCTTGAACACTTCCAAGGATGGGGTATCCACAGCTTCTCTGGGCAACTTGTTCCAGTGCCTCAAGATCCTTAGAGTGAAGAATTTCTTCCTTAGATCTAATCTAAATCTCCCCTCTTTCTGTTTAAAGCCATTGCCCCTTGTCCTATCACTACATGCCCGTGTAACTACAAGTTACATAACATTCCACATCCCTCTCCAGCTTTCCTGTAGGCCCCCTTTAAGTACTGGAAGGCTGCAATAAGCTCACCCTGGAGCCTTCTCTTCTCCAGGCTGAACAGCCCCAACTCTCTCAGCCTGTCTTCATAGCAGAGGTGCTCCAGCCCTCGGATCATCTTTGTGGCCCTCCTCTGGACATGCTCCAGTAGCTCCATGTCCTTCTTGAGTTGGGGACTCCAGAGCTGAACACAGTACTGCAGGTGGGGTCTCAGGAGGGCAGAGCAGAGGGGCAGAATCACTTCCCTCGACCATTTGGCCCCACTTCTTTGGATGCAGCCCAGGACATGGCTGGCTTTCTGGGCTGCCAGCGCACGTTGCCAGCTCGTGTTGAGCTTCTCATCAACCAGCACCCCCAAGTCCTCTCCTTAGGGCTGCTGTCAATCTTATTACACCACTGTGTGCACCTTTAGGCAACTGCTGCTTAAGAGAGCACTGGGAACTGACTTACCTTCCTTTACCCTGAAGGAATAAAATGGATTTCTACTATTCCCTCTGGCTTTCTACAATTAATGCAGAGTACCTCTGGTCCAGTGGTGCACTGGGTGAAGGGAGGAGAGCTGCTAGGTGGAGAAGGGAGAGGAGACTTTGAACCTGTTTTGTTTTGTTGAATATGGTGGCCTTACAGACATCACTGTCCCCAGTCTGCTGATGGAGGTGGTAGGGAAGAAGTCCAGTAGAGACTGGCATACCAGATACAGGTGCTATGGCAGTGCTGGTGCCTGACAATTCTCATGTGCTATCACACATATTGTCAAGAACTGCACCTCGTGTGGCCAGTTATTGCCTGTTGATGTTAGATAATGGAAATGGCACTTCGGTGGAAGGACAGCACACCGCACTGTTACGGTGATCTGTGACTGCCCTCTGCCAACTCTGCTCAGGGCTCTCCTGTCTGCTGGCTGTGTTGGTGCTCACAAGAAAACCCACAGCATGTGAAAATCGGTGCTTGGATGGAGATGGCAGTAAATGTCTAGACACTGAAGGGGACGAGTGAGCAGTTTTTGAATGCGTGAGTCCTCAAGGCTTAGCTTCGAGGCATTGCCTAGCGTTCACCTACGACAGCTCTATTTTGCTTGCCAAAATGTTGGGGGTCCGGGAGGCCTCTGGCTTTGTAAACTGCTCAGAAGGGATGGCTTATTTTTCTCTGCAAATGCAATATGTACCTTCAGCTTAACACTCACACCACCTGTAAGAATTTATTATTTTGTAATTCCTAGCTGGAAAATGTTGTTTAAATATTACTTTCCTTATTTTAAGGAATTGTTCTTTTTACTATCTTTCTAATGCTGGACAATCCCCTTCAGAAGAATTCACCTTTACAGCGTACAATATAGGTGGTCAGGTGCACATTAATGAACTCGTGTGAGCTGCTGTCTGCAAAACGCATGTGTGTTTCAGTAGGATTAGTGAGTGCAGACTTACTGAGATAAGAATCAAGCTGCCTGCTTTGTTACGTTATTGCCTTTTACTTACTGAGCCGGGTCTGATGTGAACTGGCCTCTCTGCAAGCAGATAATAGGAGGGAAAACTGATAGGGCTTGGTGCCTCTGCGGGGTTGGTTTTATTTATTATTTATATGAACAATTGCTAGGTGCTGTACAAACAGAGGATGACAGCTCTTGCTACAGGCAGCCTGTTCCCATTTCAAGTATATGGGCGGATGTATTTTGTTTCAGAGCTGATTGGGGTGGATCAAAGGTACTGAACCTGTTTGTGTGACCTAACAGCGTTGGTGTGTTTATATCAAGGGCTTCCACAGGTCTGTGCTTTTAACACCTTTTCATGGCATTTCTTGGGTTCTCCAGGGAGCCTTGAAGATACACATCTGCCCTTGGACTCTTCTTGACCATATTACCACGCAGGCAATCAGTGCCATATACCGGCACTGATGTTGGTCAATCTCTTTTGTGATGGAAC